ATTAGGTTTTCTTTAAATAGCTCGGACTCACCGAGTCAGTCTCGACCCGCGTCCAAATATCACGATCTTACTCGACGAGTCGGTCTCCCAACTCGCCGAGTCTATGCATAAATTCCCTTCAATAGATAAATTTCAACCAATTCCCTAAACAAGTGCTACATAATTAAATATGATTTTGTAGGATTTTAAATATAGAAATACAATTAATTATCAGCAATCATATCCGAAACTTATTAAAGACGAATTTAAATTTCTCCTAAAAACCAGGGATCAAATAAATAATTGTCTAACTTATTATCAATATCAATATTTTTTAAAAAATAAAAAAAATGATGAGAAAATGATACGTGTCATTTTTATAAAGCATTTTAAAAGAAAACATAAATTATGAAAAAAAATAAATAACTAGTTACACTAATAACTATTCTTTTATTAGTATAAAAATATTATACAAAAATGTAAAATATGTAATGTATGAAAGTAAAAGGGTTAGTAAATACCAAGGTTATTAAAAACGTGATTTTGATCGTAGAATCACACGATTCTACGATCATACATTTGTATTTCGATTTCGGTCTTATTAAACTCGTTTTTGGGTAGACTCATGGTAAAATCGTGAAATCGGATCATAGAATCGTAGAATCATATATGATCCGATTCTATGTTCATTGACCATTTTTTTGACACTTTGACCCTAAATTAAAAGCCTAAAAACTAAAAGAGCATAAGGGAAAGTGACATAAAAGATTGACGATGGATGGCAAACACGAACGACGAACCCTAGCCCCTTTTTTTGCTCATCTTCGTTGTAACTGTAGATGCTTGAAGCCCTGAAACTGAAACTTAATATGTTCATCAAACTCAACGAAATTTTATCTTGCAACTTGCGATTATTTGAAGTCCTGAACCAGGTAAGCCTTTATCAAATTTCTGAATTTTTAAATACATTCTTGAAGCATGTACGTCGTGAACCTAAAGTCTTGAACCAACTTGCGATATACATTCTGAATTTTGGCTTGTAGCTTTCATTCTCACTTTGGGTAAGCCTTCATCAATTTCTTGGTTATGTTACTTATATACATTATTTTGCAGCTTCAAGATTGGAGTTACTCCAAATCTCTGATGTTTATTGTTTTAGATTGAAATTGTGTAGAATATAGATTATGAAAATTGAAAAGTTAGAAACATATGTAATTGTTGTTCAAACTTTAAACATGTTAGAATTTAGAAACGTATTAAGAAAGAATGTATATCACTTTAAGGCTCTTTTAGCATTAATGTATGGTTTTTTTCTCAACCAATTATGTTAGATTAGATTGGAAATGATAATTGATATGTATTAGACTATTAGTCATCACAAATGTTTTGAAGTTTCTAGAATTTGTTGACAAACAACTGATGGACAAGTTTTAAATTTATAAATGCATTGTTTTTAGTAGAATCATATCATTCGAATTCGATTTTACGATCTCGATTTTGCAAACACGAAAACGATTATGTGTAGAATCTCGATTTTGCAAACCCGGGTAGAAACTTCTAAGACATTGCCGATTGATATATCGTATAATACTAGGTGTAAGACCCATGTATTAAATGAGTTCATTTAAAAAAAATATATGAAATTCTAAACATTTGAGAAGTTTGAATTTATAAGAAAAAAATAGAAAAATATTAAATTATTAAAATTAAATTGTTTGTTTTTTTAAATTAAACAAATAATTTAGATAAATAAACAAAAGAAACTAATGAAACTTTAATTTAAAAAATTAAAATTAGAAGGAAATCAATTAATAAAATTGATATACATTTATTATTACATTTATTATAATTATTAAATTTAAATATTATGTGAAAATTAATAAAATAAAATAAAAACCATAAAATATCATATATATATATATAAAAAAATTAATTAAAAATAAACAATAACATATATCAAATCAATAAAAATATCACACGTAGGCAAGAATTCCCACACTATTAATTATTTTTAAAAAGAAAAATATTAGTGAAAAGATGATGAGTTGTAGCGTTCACACCCCCAAACTTTACATATTTGCCCTTATCTTTCACACACCAAACGTCTCCTTTCTCCGGCCATCATAACGTCAGGATCTCCAGCGCTCCCTCGTATCTCCGCACACATCTGTTTCTCCGGCGCTCCCGATCGAACAAGGGCAACATCGCCCCCAGCACCACTCGTATCGGGCAGCCTTTTTCATCGCCGCCATCTACGGTTAGTTTCCTCTCCGGTCATCTCCTTTTCTCTTGTACTGATTCCCGCTTTCTGGTTGGTACAGACTACAGACACCTTTCTGATTAAGTGATTCAAAATCGCCATTTTTGATTGAGACGAAGCTTCTGTAATTCACCCTTCAATCTTCCCCAATGAGCGCCGGTACACCCCTCTTTCTCTGAATGTATACTTCTATGTACACACATACACAGCCTCCTAGGGTTTCCTTTGGCCAAACTGCTTTCCATCAAGTAATTTAAGAGTTGGTGGTGATAAAACCTCCCTAAGATTTAGGGTTTTGCCGATATCTTCTCAATAATACTTGTTGTTTCTGTCAATAAGTGAAATCAGAATCACTGCTTGTAGCGAAGCAGTTGCCATTGCCCTGCTGCTTTTCAAATTACAAACGTGAAATTAATGTTCTTGTAGCAAATTTTGAGCAGTTAAAAGTGATTATTCTTACTACTTCTGTTATCTCTTAAGATCATGTAGATGAGGCATTATTCATTTCTTTTCAGGAGGAGCATTTGGAGGGAATAGAGGAGCACGACCAGTACCACCAGAGAAAGGAGTTTTTCCGTTGGACCATATGCACTTATGTGACCTGGTACCCTCTCCCTGATTTTTTTTGGTGAAAATTAGTTTTCTTTCTCTTGTGTAATTTAGAAAATTGGAATTGCAGCCTTATGATTTTGACTGGTTGGTTTGGTGTTAATTTGCTACATTCAGGAGAAGAAAGAATATATAAGTTGTCTCAAAACATCAGGGCATAAATCCGAGATATGTAGACACCTTTCAAAGAAATACTTGGAATGCCGTATGGAAAAGTTAGTTTGTTACTTCCCTTTAGAAATCATATTTGCAAAAGACAATTGCCTTAAGGAGTCATATTCTGTCATATGTCATGTGATGTCATGTCATAACTTTTTGTGTGGGCCTAAATGAGTTTTCTAATTGTTGTGTTGGGAGGGCTTTTCAGGAATTTGATGGCAAGGCAAGACATGTCGGAACTTGGTTTTGGGAAGGAAGACATCTCAGAATTGACTAAAGAGAAAAATGAAGATGGGAGTATCAAAAGCTGAATTTCTCAATGCTACAAAGAAATTAGGTCGACTCAAAAAGCGCAAATATCTTGTCTATCATTCATAAGCGATCCTATATTAACCAAATTTTGCTTAGTAATAATGGTGGGAAGCTTCTATGAATATCCTTGCTCAAGTTCTCTGCACGATGTACTTGTATGATTGATTTGTTTATTATGATATATTTTTCTATTATAGTATTGTGTTTTGAAAAACAATGATTCAAATACAAAGTTGATCATTTGAGATTTTGACACTTTAAATGGAGATTGTCCCGCCATTTAAAAGAAAATAAATAAATAAATAAGTACAAAGCAATGTCAGATTTCACTGTTATAAATTGGTTCCACTAAGAGTTGTTCGGTCCTTTATCTCATGCTTTCTGAAAACGTGCTATTTGTTATCATCTTCCACTAAATTTCCAATTTGTAAAGGGTTTGAAATATTTATAAAGATTTGAATTATAGACTAAAGTTTCAATCAAACTTGGTCTATTATGAGAAAATGGATAAATATCGAGAATAATATCAAAATTCTCTTATAGAATCGACTATTGAATTATAGACTCATGTTTCTGACCAAATAAAGTTTGACCAGTCACTTTTTTCTTGGGCGTTAGCTGTAATACTAAACCCATTATGTAGTATGTACAGGTACAACTCCCCATTCCAATTTAACGAATTATTATCATCTTATGTCAAATCGAAATTGGTTAATTTTGTTTTTAGGTGATGTATTTTCCTAGACGAGATAACTCAATTTATTCTTGTTGAAATGTGAAGTATGTTTATCGTTGTATGTAAAATAAAGAGAACATTGTCATAGATCTAGATAAAGGTATTAATGAAAATGTATATTTACATAAAGTAGGTCGTAATACCAAAATTGTGAGCAAACATTTTTTTTTTTTTTATAAAAAGGTGTGGTTTTTGATTAATTTATTTAAAAATAGATTGATAAGAGTTATGTTTTAAACCTAACAAGTTAAACTAAATAAACTAAGAAGAAAACAAAAGAGGAAATGGATTGAACGGCTTGGCTGTCACCTCAAAATGTATAATTACACAACTTAAATTCCTTATATAAACACCAAACTATCGTTATAATAATATAATGTTATAACCATGGGTTAATATATTAATTATTTACAAAAAGAAAATCAGAATTAAATTGAAATTTACAGGATTCTGGTTAATAAGTCAAAATTAATGCAACTTAATACTAAGACAAGTTGCTGGAATAGCTCAGTTGGTTAGAGCGTGTGGCTGTTAACCACAAGGTCGGAGGTTCAAGCCCTCCTTCTAGCGAGTTTCATTTTATAATGTTTTTTGGATGCGAAAGTCACTTTTAAAAATATTTAGACTTAAAAAACTAAACTGAATTTGCACACCCAAGATCACTACTATCTTGTTGCTAGAGGACATTTTAAAATTACAAAATGAAAATTTCAAGACAAAAGAAACTAATTTACACATTTTTGAACAGCCATATATATCATGTAAGTAATTAGATGAGCAAATTGCAATAAATGACAATATACATTGGCTTTTTCTTATCGATATAGAATTATCCCTATAATGATAATATGTTAATTACTTTTCTAACATTTGTTCGATATATAAAATGTTTGAGTAAATCCTTTTTCAAAAGACAGAAGTAAGTAAAATAAAATATATACCTGCTTTGGAAGAAGAAAACAAAGTCCATTTCATACATTTATCCACTCATCGATAATCGATTAGCATTCGATACAAAATATTCATACATATGACCATGATCTTCAAATCATTATTCAAAAAATATTCATATACAAAACCATTTCATACATTTATGCGCATTATGAGGGAGCAAAATAGACGCACAACAATGGTAGTAACCATCTTCATCAAACACAAACCTTTGAGAAAGATGAACTTCACGGATCAAATACTTCCCCCAATCCTCTGAACCATATTTCTCCATAACACCTCGAGCATCAAATGAATCATATTGATTTGTCATCTTAGTCCTAATCAATATAATTAATTCACTTTTATAAAGAAATAAAATAAAAAGTACATAATCAAACAAACCAAAAAGATAAATAAATGGAAGAACCTTTTCCTGTGTCTCACGTTCATAACAGTCGCATGCAACTGCATTGAGTAAAAAAAAAACACTCATATATTATATATATAGCTTATCAAATTAAGTCATGTTCCCATTAAGTCAAAAAGAAATGACCTTCACCTACCTTTAATGTTTGTTTGGCATCTTTTTCAAGAACAAGCCCACCTTTCGTGAAAGCTTCAGTGATGACTTCTAAGAAGGTTCAGGAAAAAAACACGAATAATTTTCATTGTTGCTTTATTTTGTTACTTCAATTAAAAAAGAATATAAATAAAAATGCACATAAAATGTGGATACTGCAAGCCCGCAAAAGCCTATCTTCACCACCAACTACTTCAACAGGAGCGTAAAGAACACGAGCTTTAGCAAGAGAACCTTTCAAGCAATCCTAAAAGAAGAAATTAAGATTTAAGAGCATTCGCTCCATGTTCTTTATTTAAAAATATATATATACAAAAATTCCTATCAACTATATGGGATTAGGGGTGTTTGAATGTGCTTTTCTAAAATGATTATAGTGATTTGAAGAATCTGAATTGGATTATATAATATAAGTTGCTTAAAATTATAGGGGGAGTTACGTAATCTTATATCCTCCTAAATGTGTGACAATTTGGAGAGAAAGGAAAGGCTTCATAACTTCTTTAAGGCTAAATGCATGAAAACAGTTAAACAGCAACATACTTCCATTTCTTTATATTACAAACATTGTACTTTCAAATACATATATATATCTTAATAAGACAGTGTACTTTGAAATTATCCCTAATCTATTATTTTACATGGTAAGGGTATCGACATAAAATTGTCAGCTTTCTTGCTTTTTCTCTCCAACTCGATGACACATGAAAGTAGATCCCTGAGTTTAGCAAGTTTTTGCAATTTTGGTTCTTATTTTGAGAGGTATCTCAACGATTTGGTTTATGTTCAAGTAAAATGAATTGTTTTACAAAATTTTGATAAATTATTTTATATTTATATTATTAATAAACTAAACTGGGCTATGAATCTAATATATCAACTAAACAAGGATTCTTACTAGCCCCTTAAGTTTAATAGATACAGGTCTGCCATCTAATGCATCCATTATTTCACCTTCAATGCCCTGTGTCATAAAAAAAATTATAAAACATTTAATTCATCTCAAATATATAATCAATCAACAAAGTTTAGCAATTGAATTTGACCTCAAATATCTTGACAGCAGCATCAACTCTCTCCTTGTTCCACAGCTTCAACATGAGCACAGTTAAGTGAAATGTCTTCGGCTTAATAAAAATCGATTGATCTATTCCAAGTTCTGTTTACACAAAAAGGAAATTAAGAATATGAATAAACGGGAAATTATATCATAAGGATAATTCTGCTCACATACCGGATAATGTGGAAGTTTTTGGCTTTGAGGCGGAGGTAGAAGCTTTAATGGAAGCATTATCATGTAACCCTAATATTGAATTTTGAAAGTTGACAAGCTTATCAACCAATTGAGGATGTATAGCCAGTGGAAGTGATATGAAGTGTGAGTAGTCAAGAGCTGAACTTTTGACAACCAGTTTGCTACCTACTTCAGCTCCACCATGGCGATCTTGACATAGATGTAAAATTCATATATCTAACTTTAATAAACTGATTATTCAAAATTTCAAATCACAATAATCGCTTTGAAGAAAACTCATCCAAACCGAGGCATAAATCCTTACCATTAGCGAAACTAGACTTCATAGACACAGGTCTCCGAACAGAAGCAATTGATTTCTGTTTTTGCCTCTCTGCAGAAGATGTTTTATTGTTGCTTCCACCAATCATTTTATGGTTGTTCATACGACCATACGAGTAGCATCTCTGCCATTAAAAAGAATATCATTAACATTCCTAACTTCAAATAAGCTCTTAACTTTTACACTCCACGATGCAAACAGAAATTTGTTCCTTTGCTTAGCAAATTCGATACTAAATTCAGCTAGTTCTAGTTTCATGTAGAAAAGTAAGTCGAAGTCTACCTGATTTCAAGAACGAAAGCAGTATTCATAAACTAATTACACGTTAGAATTAATACCAATAATTCATCGGTTTAACCTATCCCTGTGGAAGAATTCGAAAGACCGGTGAACTTGAAAGAAGGGCGATGACTTGGATATGTGATACGGAAGTGTGAAATAAACAATAATTGAACTTGTAACCTTGAGGTCGATATATAAACGGTTGATATGATCGCTGAAAGAAGAAATTCTACCAGAAAACACGTTATCTATTTTAATTACTTTTATACATTTTTAAATTTCAATAATGTTTGTAGATTTTTTCTAATCACTAAATATATGTTTTAATTATTTTACATATTTCAGAAAAATATTTTATTAGTTTTTTTACGATTTGCAAACTTTAAAGAATAATTATCGTCTCACTAATTTTTACACATATTCAAAGAAAAAAAAAATCATCAATTTTTACAACTTGCAAGTATCAGATAAAAATCTACCTATATTTACTAATAACTTTACACCCATATAATAAGAGCAATCTATCATATTATTTGTGAATTTTATATGTTTCAAAAAAATAATTTATCATCTTTTTTGTAATTTTGAGTGAACTTATTACGGAGTCTAATTAGTTAAAATCAAAATAAAAGTTCTATAAAATTATTGTTCGCTCTAAAATATAAAATTTATTCGATACAACAAAAAAAATTTTAAAATATGAATAATTTAATAATTTGGGCGATACACCCAAATGTCTAGGATTCATTATCATACTCATAATATAACAATAAAATAAAAAATCTAAAAAACAATTTGCCAACAGGGAAGTTCATATATGGGTTGTTTGTCTTTGGCTTAATAGAACTAATATTATAAAAGTTTTAAATTTTTAATATGAAATTGAAAAAAGCTTTAATATTTTTTTATTGTTATGGTTACAATTTTCTCATAGAATTATTACTCTAACCCACTTAACGAGTTTCATGGTTAACTTTATTAACTTTTTTATGGTTACAACTTTCTCATAGAATTATTACTCTAACCCACTTAACGAGTTTCATGGTTAACTTTATTAACTTTTTTGAAAAAATTCAGTCCTAAAATTTGGTTTAAAAATCAAATTTGGTTCATGTAGTTTGCAAAAAATTACACCACATGGTTTTTTAACTTTATTTTTCGTTTTATATATATATATATATATATATATATATATATATATATATATATATATATATATATTGCATTTAAACTATTGATATCACATATATAAATATAATTTAATTTGCAAGTTATATCACATATTGAAACATTAATTCTCAATAAACAATTTATTTTTATTATTTTTTTTTCATAACATAAATATAATAGCACTAAAGAACAAAAGAATAAAAAGAAAAAAAATTGAACCAAAATTACAAAAAAATAAGTTATTATTTTTTATTTAGGTGGACTAGAGTGATAATTCTGCAAAAAAGTTGTGGTTATATTAATAATAAAAAAAATGTTGTTTTTTCTAATTATCCGTTAAAAACTTAGGACTTTTATAATATTAGTCCGGCTTAATAAAAATCAGTATTAATCTATAGGTTTTTTGGGTAATTTTTGTTATTTATACCTTTGCTATTTTGATTCAAAAAGGGTTTTTAGCCAATTTTACATGTACTTTTAGGTAGGTAGTTTCCGTATATATACCAAAATACCAAAACTAACCTGAAAAATGAGATAAATTTGCAAATAATTTTGGTATTTTTACATAAATGATATAGGAAACATGTAATTTTACAGACCATTTCGCAAAAATACAGTAAAATGGGCATTTCCGCATGGCATTTATAGTATTTTTGCTGGTGTCCCTACAAAAATACCATAAATGTGTTTTCTCACAGGCTATTCAACTGCTATTTTCGCTTTTATCAGTTATCTGTTTTACTGTAGCATGAGTTTTAGTGGACAAGTAAAAGCTTTGGAAACCACAGGTCATGTTTGTTTTACTGTAGCATACACAAATTTATCCCATTAATGACAATATGTTGACTAATTTTCTATCGATTTGGTCAATATATATAATATATGAAAACAAAAATCTTTCATACATATTTATTCACCTATTAGCAACTGATACAAAATATTCAACAAAATGACCATGATCTTCAACTCATTAATCAAATAACAAAAAACTAATCTACTTGCACATTCTGAGGGAGCAGAATAGAGGCACAACGATGGTAATAACCATCTTCATCAAACACAAACCTTTGAGAAAGATGAACTTCACGGATCAAATACTCCCCCCATTCCTCTGAACCATATTTCTCCATAACACCTCGAGCATCAAATGAATCATACTTTTTTGTTGTCTTAGTCCTAAAAAATATAATCAATACCATTTTTTATTCAATTTTATAAAGAAAAAAAAAACTATATAATCCAACAACCAAACAGATAAATAAATGTAAGAACCTTTTCCTGTGTCTGGCATTCATAACCGTTGCATGCAACTGCATTGAGTAAAAAAAAAACTCATATATTATATATATAGCTTATAAAATTAAGTCATGTTCCCATTAAGTCAAAAGGAAATGACCTTCACCTACCTTTAATGTTTGTTTGGCATCTTTTTCAAGAACAAGGCCACCTTTCGTGAAAGCTTCAGTGATGACTTCTAAGAAAGCTCAGGATAAAAACAGAAATCATTTTCAATTGTTGATTTATTTTCTTTTACTTCAATTAAAAATAAATAAAATAAGAATGCACATAAAATGTGGATACTGCAAGCCTGCAAAAGCCTATCTTCACCACCTATTACTTCAACAGGAGCATAAAGAACACGAGCTTTAGCAAGAGAACCTCTCATGCAATCCTGAAAGAAGAAAGCATGAATTTAGAGCTAAACTCAGGGACCAAGTAAAATGAATTGTTTCACAAAATTTTGATGAATAGTTTTATATTTATATTAATAATAAGTTAAATTGAGTAATGAATCCAATATATCAACTAAAAATGGATCCTTACTAGCCCCTTAAGTTTAATAGATACAGGTTGGCCATTTAATGCATCCATTATTTCACCTTCAATGCCCTGTGTCATAAAAAAATTATAAAACATTTAATTCATCTCAAATATATAATCAGTCAACAAAATTTAACAACTGAATTGACCTCAAATATCTTGACAGCAGCATCAACTCTCTCCTTGTTCCACAACTTCAACATGAGCACAGTTAAGTGAAATGTCTTTGGCTTAATAAAAATCGATTTATCTATTCCTAATTCTGTTTACACAAAAGAGAAATTAAAAAAATGAACAAAATGGAAAATTATATTATAAGGATAATTCTGCTCACATACCGGATAATGTAGAAGTCTTTGGCTTTGAGCCTGAGGTGGAGGTAGATGAGGATTTTGGGGGATAACTTACAAGGGGTATTTTAGTAACATCCACTTTCACATTTCCACTATCTTCTTGAGCTTTAAGTGTGAGAGTAGATTCACCTAATCTTTTGTCCCCGTTTTCTTCTTCTGATGTATCTTCATTGGAAGTATTATCATGTAACCCTAATATTGAATTTTGAAAGTTGATAAGCTTATCAACCAATTGAGGATTTATAGCCAGTGGAAGTGATATGAAGTGTGAGTAGTCAAGAGCTGAACTTTTGACAGTCTGTAAATTCCCATATGGACACGTCAGCATGTTATGTAAAATGGAAGCTAAGAAAGATTTTCACTTAAGCAAGATAAAAAGCAATTGACCTCATCAATTATGAGTTGTATTCTTTCTGAAGCTCTAGTTACACTATCAGGAGAAGTCCCTTCGATGACTGTGAAAATGTTTAAATAGTTCTTCAAAATATGCAAAAGTGTACACAATCTGTTTTATAGAAAAATGGCTAGATTCAAGAAACATACTAATTGATTCTTCCTTTCTTGATGATGGAAATATTATTTTAACCCCCATCTCTTCTTCAATGTTTGATTGCACATAACCCCTGTGGAGGATTATGATTTATGAAGAAAGTATTATGTTTAGTGGTAGCATACGTAAATTACTAGAATATAACAAGTGGAAATGCCAGAAGTACCCTTTTCCTTTGATGAACCGAAACAAGGAAGACCCTACCTACATGATAAAGAAACCGAATAAGGAAAGTACATGAATTACAAGGAAAACTAAGTGTAAGTTCACAATTCAAGGGAAAAAAAACAGACAACTAAAGCTTTACCTCTAAAGAGATTGAATGTTTATCTGTAGAAGACACTGACCCTTTGAATGCATTGTCTTCCTCTTTATCAGATAATATTGCAGGACCAATTTGTGGTTCAGCCAGTTTACTACCTACTTCAGCTCCAGCATGGCGATCTTGACATAGATGCAAAATTCATATTTCTAACTTTAATAAACTGATTACGATTGTGATTATTCGCATCACAATGATCGATTTGAAAAAAGTTCATCCAAATAGAAGAATAAATACTCACTATCAGCTGAACAAGACTGCGTAGACACGGGTTTCCATACAGATGCAATCGATTTATGTTTTTTCTTCTCTGCAGATGTTTTATTGCTGCTTCCACCAATCATTTTATACTTATTGTTCATACCCCCACACGAGTAGCATTTCTGCCATTAAAAAGAATCATTAACATTCCCTGCTTCAAATAAGCTCTTAACCTTTAAACTCCACAATACAATAATTTATTGGTTTAACATATCCCTGCGGAAAGAATTCGAAAGACGCTGAACCTGAAAGTAGGTTGCTGACTTGGATATATGATATGGGATTGTGAAATTCAGAGCACGTTCTACTCTGAAACAATAATTGAACTTGTAACAGTGGAGTCGATATATGCATAAAGTAATGATATGATCGCTGAAAGAAGAAATTGTACCGGAATAGAGCTAACATCGATGTTTCCCTGCCGCCGCCACCGTCTTATTAGAGTTGGGAAACGACTCCCTTGTAAATGATTTATTATTTATTATTTATTTTTTTCATTTTTTATTTTAAAGTCAATATATTTTCTCGAACACATGGTTCTAAATTGGGATGATCAGCTGAATCAGGTACGTGCTTTCGGAACCGTAACCATCTTGGAACTGCCGGTTCTAGAACTGGAACCGTTTTAGGCGGTTCCGGTTCCCAAAGTCTCGGAACCGTCTTATGCAGTTCTGGTTCCAATTCTCATTTTTACGAAACTGATACCCGCTAGATACCCATCGGTTCCGGTTTCAATATCGGGTACCCAG